CACAGGGGACCCAATTATAACTTAAACACGGAAAAAAAGTCAGATTTTCATGATATGTCAGCACCTTTTTTATTTATAATACGTACATAATTGCTTACTATGTAGTGTGTAAAACTAATTGGACAAGGTAATTTATTTTGCTTGATAAACTGTTAATAAATAATAATAATAATACAAATAATAGAGCATCATTACATCATTCTTTTAATAACTGAAATATTTGGACATTTCACACTAAAGTAATTATATTAAAGACTGTTGTTAGTACACTTTTAAAAAGAAAAGGTTCTGTATAGAACCTTAAATGGTTTTATCTTTCAGGGGCTTCATATATATATATATATATACACAGCTTTTAGGGAGTCCCATCTTAGGATTTAGTTCTAATTAATACATTTTACTTTAATTAATTTTTTATTTTAATCATTAATTAAAATTACTTTATCAGTTGAAAATTTTTTAAATAACCAATTAAATCTGAAAATATTATGCAATCATTTAAGACATTTCACCTTATACAGAACCTTTTTTTGGCACAAATAGTTCTTTAAAGTTGAGTCAAGAACCCTATAGGGTTCTAAATAGAACCCCATTAAACCTTTTTTTCTAAGAGTGTACATGTAGTGTAAAGGCCTTTTCACACCAAGACAAATATTCGTTGTGAAAATTTGGTGCGATGTGTCTGTTCAGGCCGATGAGAACTTTTGCATGCCGTCAATGAGATTTTTTTACAGAGAAGGGTTCAAATCTCTACGAGAAAACTAGTAAACCAATAAGATTTGCGCTTTTGGTCACATGGCTAGAGCCGCTGCAGTTAAAACCAGTCTATGGTTAAAACCTTAAAACCAAGACCTGGTGCCACTCATGAACAGAATACTTTGTCTCTGTTCTCTAGTATTTGCTGTTGTTTGATAATTTTTTTTTAAATAAAATAGTGAATACAAAAATCTGACTGTTTGCAAACATGTAAATACTGTTTGACTTACTTTCTTCTCTGTGACAAGCAGACAAATCGGTCTGAACAGACAAATTGCATCCAAAATTCGTACAGAATTTTTGTGCCGAACATACACATTGGTGTGAACAGGCCTTAAGTGCAAAGTACATTTTTTTTTTATTTAAAGCTTTATTTTATGCTAAGCTACCAGGCTAATGGTGTATGTATGCTATGCTAATACACTAACTAAAACACACATTAACAGTCATTATAACAGTTCAAACTACATGCATCACAACGTTATTTTGTAGGAATTATATTCAGGCACTAAAGACAGTACCCATTACAAGGTCTTAGAGCCAATTGCTTGAGGTCCTAATGGAGACTCGATTTCGAGGGAGGATTTCTCATGACACCGGATTAGGCTTTCTAGATTGAAGACGTTGAGAATTTATGCTAATGCTAATAATTTGCATAGTCCCTGAGGGACAGCAAGAGAGCAAACAGATGCTGCGACTCAGTGAATGTGTGCAATCAGCTAGAATTAGGACGTGTCACGTAGAGATGTCAACTGTTTGCAAATACATGACTGGTCTGACAACAACTGTGAATGTCAAAAAGTGTATTTATTCTATATAAATATTATATTCACCTCAAAAGTGTGAATGACAAATGAACCACAACAGAGCTCCACTGTTGCACTCAATCATAAATGGTTCAGTCAGTGATAGTATCAGAAGTTAATACCATTGTGCTTTTAAACTCCATATTGTCTAATTATCATCATACTGGTATTATCACGCACATAACCTTGTAATGCTACTTCAAAGAATACACTGGAAATCACTGTATGGTATTATCATCATATTTTTATAACATGGATAGAAGATATTTACCAGGGTAATTCTAATTACAATCTTGGAACCATGGTACAGTAATGGTGTTTCATAGTGCTACGATACTTGAAATATACTACGGTACTAAAATTCATATACTTAAATGGTACCAAGCTACCTCCAAAAATACTACCATGGTAGTATGGTACATTAGTTAATTCTAGAATTATGTGAAGTTACAAAACAGGTAATTATGCCATGTCTATGACGAGACACAATAATACCATGGTATTAATTAAAAAAAAAAAATACCAAGACACTTTAAAGAATACAATGGTATTATCATGATACATCTCCTCAAAATATGGTAATACCACAATTTTTGGTAACACTTTACAATAAGGTTCATTAGTTAACATTAGTTAACTCAGTTAGCATGAACTAATAATGAACTGCACTTATACAGCATTTTTCAATCTTTGTTAATGTTAATTTAAACATTTACTAATACTTTATTAAAATCTTGTTAACATTAATTGATGCACTGTGAACTAACATGAACAAACAATGAACAGCTGTAGTTGTATTAACTAACGGTAACAAAGATGAACAAATACAGTAACAAATGTATTGCTCAGGGTTAGTTCATGTAAGTTAATACATTAACTAATGTTAACTAATGAACCTTATTGTAAAGTGTTACCCAATTTTTTTTAACCCCTTATTTAACCCATAGCCATTACATATTTAAAACGGTAATATCATATACTAAACCTAAACTAATATTGACAAACTATATATCATTTGAAAGCTTACAATCTGTAGTTTTCATATTTGGTGATTCAAAATAAATTACAGAAGAGCCGTAATTATCAATTTGCAACAAGAATATTTTCATACTCCTAAGGCGTGTTAAGACCTTTACTTTGAAATAGTGATGAACATGAAAATCATGACACAATGGTAGAAACCTCAGTTTGTTTTCAATGCCAATAGTTCAAAAGATAACATCCATTATATTTTTTTTTAGAAAAAAAGGTCTGAAAATAATTTAAATATAAAGAAAAAATTAGATTCACCATTTATGATGCAGAGGCGAGCTATAACGCACATGTGTGTTATTTTTATGTGATTATTGAGGTTGAATTCATATCAAAATATGCCAAACTTCCCTTACTACTTCTGAATAGGATGCCTCCTTCATAAATTGTATGAGAATTGTGGAAATATATGGTTCAGATCACTCAAAACACATATGGAAAGGCACCCTTATATGGGCAGTAATTGAGTCTGGTTGTGACCTAGTGAAAAAGTTTGGTACTGCGCCCAAAATTAGAAAATCGTGCAAAACTTCATTTATTTCAGTAATTCAACTTAAAAGGTGAAACTAATATATTATATAGACTCATTAAATGCAAAGTGAGATATTTCAAGCCTTTATTTGTTATAATTTTGATGATTATGGCTTACAGATATGAAAACCTTTTCACAATATTCTAATTTTGAATTTGGGGTTTTTATAAGCTGTGAGCCATAATCATCAAAATTATAACAAATAAAGGCTTGAAATATCTCACTTTGCATGTAATGAGTCTATATAATATATTAGTTTCACCTTTTAAGTTGAATTACTGAAATAAATTAAGTTTTGCACGATATTCTAATTTTTCGAGTTTCATCTTAAATGAGGATGACTTGACTTACAAAAATAGCATGGTATTTATATATATATAAAAAAAAAAAACATAGTTCATTCTAGGTACTTCATGGTAAGAATGCCATAGTATAACCACAGTAGGATAGCAGTATTTCAAAGAATGGTACATGTACAAAATCGTTCTCTCTCATTGCTGGAAGGGGATTGCAGCCTAGATTTCTACTGAGGTCTTCCCCACTCTCATCAATGATGACTCACCAAAGTCTTGTTTTCCCCTACATTCTGCTCACAGATACAGCTCTATGTATGGTGCTGGTATCAACATACTGCAACCATGACAACACATCTTTTCAAATAAAGCCTCCAAGGACACAAGTGCTAAAAAAAGAAATAAAACAAAGTTATCGCTGTAATATAGATCTGTGTATCCTGTGGCTTAATGTACCGTTACGATTACTTATTTGCTTAGTCAACGCACAGAGTAACGCACACATCCTTGTGATTTTAAGCACTGAGCCACTGAGCTGATGGATTAGGTTTCGTGAGGGAGGAAAAGTTTTTCTGTGGGTTTTTATGTAGCTACGTTACACATGGCTCCCATCCTTTGCTGTAACTCATCTTATGCCCTCTATTAGAACAGATTCGACCAGGCAGAGAAAAACAACACCACTCATCATACGAGCCCACCGGCGAGACCATTCAGATGAAAAATACAATTAGAGAAAGAGGGGACAGCGTTCACATCCATTCAGGACAGTCTCAAGCTAACGTTCACACATTAAAGCAGAGCTGGAGGGCTAAAGACTGTTTAGGATACACTGCAGAGTGATGTAGGCCCAAACTTCTTTGTGAATGTCTGGTGAGAGAGGTTACAGAGATAGTCTTCATAAAAACCTAACCTTAAAAAAGGCTATTGCCACTCGGTTGATGCGACAGCAGCCACAGTACAACGGCACCAGTGCACTCAGAGAGAGAGTGATAGAGCCAATTCAATGGATGGGGATTATTAGGAGGCCATGATTGGTAAGGGCCAATGGAGGGAATTTGGCCAGAAACCAGAGTTACACCCCTACTCTTTACGAGAAGTGCCATGGGATTTTTAATGACAATGGAAGGGTCAAATAGCTAAAGCCACTCCCTCCGCTGGAGGTCCTGAGGATAAGACTTAAGGCCATTGCACACTGAGTCCGAAATTCGCATCCGAAATTTTCGCACGTTAAAAAAGAAATTCGACCTCAAGTTATGTTAATCACGCTTGCACACCGCCTCCGAAACTTTCGTCCGTCATAAAAAAATTCGGATCGGGTTCGATTTTTTGCGTTTTTTCCATCCACAGCCAGCATTTTGAGAGGTTTTTTGACAATTCAGGGCCGGGGGGAGCTCGTTCCGCACATCATTGCACATGCGCAGTCCTTTCATTTTCGGTTTTCAATTCGATCAAGTGTTTATGTTCTCTCGATCGGATTAGAAAAGTAATAAACCTCCCCTTTCAATCAGATCGAAATTTCGGTTGATTGAGCAGCCAATTCGATAACTAATGTATTATTTGGGTACAATATAGGCATATAACCTGTAGCCTATAGACCTTATGTAGCCCCGCCCCTTTTCAGCGCTGCGCTCGTTGTCTTTTGACTTCCGGTCTGTATTTTCACAGCGATCTTGCATAGGTATGAATGAACTGCTCGAGTAAAAAAATTCCCGGTCGACATTTGTTAAGACATCTGCTTTACAATGCTTATGATAAACATTACAATGCTCATGATAACTTTTGTTAACTCTACAATAAGTAAATCCACTTCACCAGCTAATTACTCCTGGACAGCGATGCCATAGAAATATACAGAGCGACCGCAAAAACGGAAGTTCAAAGACAATATTCTAAAGTTGACGGCGCCCACGTTTCTCTGGTGCATTAGGTCTATACAGCTGTTCTGTCTGCTTGCACCGGGCCGCGCGTGTGCCTGTGTGTGTGTGTGTCCATACCTGCTTAGACATACTGCCAGTCTCTGTTCAGGATCGATTGGTTCACAGAAATTTGTGGTCTTCTTTTTAATATGTGGCTCCAGAATCGCTAGCAAAGCATCAAACTGTTCCACTGACATTCTGAAGTGAATTTTGAATCGCTCGGGATAAATTCGCAACTCCTTGATAAGGAAGTGGAACTCTCCTTCCTCTCGGCGCAATTTCAGGATTGGATGGACCCAAGATTTTCTCTCTATTCTCATTTCAATAAGAGGGAGGGCAACAAAATCATCCTTACTGCTTGACGAATCCATTTTGTATTTTTGTGCGTTTTTTTCCGCAAAGGTTTAATAAATACGCATCGGACTCAGTGTGCAAGGTTTCTGTGTGTGACGAATTTTTAGGCTGACGAACACGAAAAAACGCATATGAAAATTTCGGACTCAGTGTGCAATGGCCTTATGTTCCATCTTCTCTAAGTCTAACCCTCATGGAATCTGTTCATTCGTCCTTAGGCTCAGTCAGCAAACCCACTCACTCCTCTGCAACCAGTACTGGGGACCACATGACCCAGGAAGTGCAACAATATGTACAAGGTTGTCCCACCTGCTCCATCTACAAGTCACCAGACCACCTACCGGAAGGTAAACATCACCCTCTACCCATACCACGCTGACCCTGGTCACACCTAGGAGTTGATTTTATTACTGACCTTCCTGAGTCCGATTTTTTCCACCTGTGTTCTAGTAGCAGTAGACCATTTCTCCAAAGCCTGCTGCCTGATCCTGATAAAAAGCCTCCCTACCACCATGGAAACCACAGAAGCCCTGTTTCAACACATCTTCAGAAACTTTGGCCTACCTGAATATATCTGTCACAGTTTCCCCTGGTCCTCACCTGCACGCACTCTCACTAATTACGAATTCACAGCACCTGCACCTCATCACTTTACTCTACACACCAGTATTGGATATAAGCCTCACTCACCCTGCACTCTGGGTCCGGTCTCGTAATTCGACGTCTGTGACTCCTTGGCTTACATACATCAAGTCTGGTTCCAGGATATCTCTGATCTCACAACAAGTATTATCAAGTTCATCACTAATCACTCTTGTGTGTGTATCTCAGCAGCTTCAGTGTGTGGTGGCTCTCGAGGATTCTCCAGTCATCCTCTCTGTGTTCTGAGTATCAACGGACCTCTGTATCTACTATCTACGTAGCAGTGTCCAAGTTCTGAATATCTTTGTATCTATACCCAAGTTCTGAGAATCTACGAATCTATATGCAAGTCCTGAGTATCTACGTGTCTGCAACCAAGTTCTGAGTTCTGCGAGTCAACGTTTATGTTTGATGTATCTCTGAATCTTCTTCCTGTTCAAGTATCAAGAGATTGTTTCTGTTCCTGCATTTGTTCAAAGACTCTGGTTCCCTTGATTTCAACAGTGCTGATCTTGAAGCCTCCCGGTATCCGGGTTTAGCATCAGTGTATAAATAAAGCCTGTTTAACTGTTATCTTTGTGTCCTCGTCCATCAGTGGTTGTGACAATATCGTGTCTGACCATAAATGACATATTTGAAGTTGTTTCTGCTATTATAATGAGACAAAATCAAATGGGATCGTGTCGATTTGTGTCGTGGAAGTCTCACTACAGTCCAGTGATGAAATATGTGTCCTGGAAATGGGAAGCCTCAGGTGCTTTTCTTGTGGAAAGGTCAAGTAGGCTCAGATGTAGATGACACTTTTTCTCCTTCTCGCTCATCTTTCGGTTGGTCCTTGAAACTTGGTGCATCCGCCATTGTCACCGCATGTTATTAAACTCTCACGCACAAAGAAATACAATTTTGGATTGTACTAATTTCTCACTTGTGACTCTGTAAAAACAGATCCCACAAATCCAACTGCCTGTGTTTATTTGTAAAATAATAGTAACTGAGACATGAAGCAAACAACCAATAACTGATCCATGATACTGTTACACTGCAGCACCAAAAAGTAATACAACAACAACAGCAAGATTTCGTTTCCTGTAGTGGCTAATCCAGTTGCATAAATACTATCAGGGGACCTTTCGCGGTGGTGTACATGAGTCTCAAGCATCTGGCCATTATAAAATCATTAAAGCTAATGAGACCAACATCTTAAGCAGATTTTACACTGAAGCCCCTCACTGGTCCACGACCACGAGCCGTCTTTGAGAATAGGTGCAGTGGCTAATTTCTGCCCGTGTGCTTCTAACACGTTCTCTCTGTCCAAAGCACACTGTCAATTTCCACTCGGCCTCCCGTTGTGCAGCCTCATGAATCATTCATCAATACTACGGGAAAGAAAAGAATTGATGCTGGTGTCGGGGGGAAGCCCTGTCTCTCTGTCTGGCCCACACAGGCAGACGCTACGTTCTCAAATGACGCTAAAGTCAGCTCTTCACGGACAGAACATAAAATACACAGTTATAAGTACATGGGAGATATTAACCTTTATGTCACACATCACGGCAATTGGAAACTGAAGAGGACCTTTTTTTAATTGGACCCCATGCTGTGGATATACGTGTTATAGAGCGTGCTGACTGCCTCATGCTGGAGAAGACTGATTCCTACTGAGCTTTGAATATTGTCAGATGTCTCATACTGGTCCTTCAGCTCAGGAGTCTAAATCAAAGGCTCAGCACTTCTGACTGTAAAAAGACATTCCTAAACCTGAGGAAAAACCTCGTTCTCATGTAGACTTCAAAAGTCAATGTACATTTTGCTACTTGGTCATAAGACATTGTGATCTGGTCTTTATTATTACATATGAGGTTTTTAGTCAAAACAAAACGTAAAAGAAAAAGCAGTAATTATTTGCTGTTGATGTTAGCTAAACCACTGAACAAAATAAAAATTCACTATACAATAAGAATACATGTGGATATATAATGAAGTCATATTTCAACTGAAAGGTTGAACTGCGTTCTCAGGATACTTTACAATATTGTATTATATTATATTATATTATATTAGGCCTATAATATATTATATTATATTATATCATATTATGTGCCTTTATTATACACAAGTTTATGAGCCGTTTCCGCTCTACATCCTAAACTCCTCCCGTCGATGCAACCCACTTCCGTTCTGGCGGTCTGGGTTTGTTTTGCTAGCTAGCTTCGACAAAGCGCTGATATCGCAGTGACATAACAATTACAACATGAAGAAAGGTGGTTCGGGAACGATGTGTGTGATAGTTGGTTGTAAACACTCGAGAAAGCACCTGAACGAGTGGTTAGATAGAGAGTTCTACGACCGCAAACCAGCTACGAAGAGGTCCATGCGCTCCATTGTTTACACACAAACACACTCACACAGTATCGCGCCCGCGCCTCTCTCTCACACACAGTTCGATCGCCTAATTATTATCATCATGGCTCACACACACACACACACACACACACACACACACACACACTTTGCACTCTAGCTAAGAAGCCTATGATATAGTTCGGATCGTCAGGAGGACATTCACTGACAGCGCGTTCTCTTTTGTCTTGTCGCGCATGAGTGGTTAAAGCATTTGCGTGAATAAGAGAATGGTCATAACCCTAGCAAAAGGATGACAGAAAGAACAGATGTTGCGTTTGCATTAAATATTTTAACACGTTAAAGCTGGACAAAAATGAATCGGGAAAATATTTTTCTCACGGCCGCACGCCGGAGATCCGGCACGGTGGCGAAAAGTGATTGCATTATTTATTGCAATAAGTAGAGGCTTCAATCGTTTTGTTGTAAGTAGAATAGGCTACTGCATTTTAAGGGGTTAGTTTCGACATTTAAAGGTATTTTAACCGGTAAAATGGTTGGTTGGTACACAGCAGGTAAAACAATGCAGAGTCATAAGGATAATTGCAAAAGAGATCATGTCTTTATTTATAGCTCAGCAGTAAGTCATGTTATAGGTTACAGTCCGTTTTCCAAATACAAACACGTATTCCATCCGCAACAACATGCTTCTTTTATTTCCTATAATCATGTAAATGTCTTCCCTGATTAAGCTATAAACTGCAAACACTTATTTAGCCACAATTGTTGTTATTATGTTAAAAGAAACATTAAAGTAACACACAGATACATTTGCTATTACCACGGACATAAACTGATAGTTATTTGCACGTTATGTCTGTTTTATCTAGCTGTGTATGACATGACACAACCGACTTTGTTGCTGTGCAGATATTGATATGCCTCGACGGCTTTCAGATTGTCCAATTGCTTTTCCATCTATTGCCATGGATTGCACGAAGTAGGAGCAAATCTCGCTGTACGTTATGCTGGGCCACGTCGTCATGTTAGTGTTCTGCACTGAATTCGGGTGGGGGATAGTAACGCCATCTCCAGTCGTGGAACCGTCGCTGTGTACACCGGCAGACGCTGTGTGCAAACCTCTTCCGGCGGAAATGAAGTGCATTTAAGTAGAGTTATGGCGGCGCCCATGATTTGGCGCGTAAACTTGTGTATACTAGTAATCAAGGGCGTAGGTTTAGGGGGGGACGCTAGGTACTAGTCCCAATCAATATTTTGAGATGACAAATTTGTCCCCACCAATATTTAGCAAGCTCCTTTGAACTGCTATTTTGATATATGCGCTGCATTTGGATCTTTGCGCTGCTATTTGGATCGATTCCAACGGCCAGGACGACGACAGTACAAGATACGCCGTAATTTGATTGGCGGCGGGGTATCTGACAGGCAGGCTACACGCGCGGGCCGGGACTACTTTTTATGCTTGCACTCACTGGCAGCGAGCGGGTGGTGTGTGCGTGTGTGTGCGCGTGACGACGCCGACGGTAAGTTACCAGGGCTCTCTGCCTGCCATATACAAAGGCCAGAGTAAAGCATTTTAATATTCCGTTTTTTTGTCCCTTTTTGTATTTTGTAGACCAGCTATGTCACCCAAGAATAAGAAAAGGGACATACGAA